CCCCCCCCCCCCCCCCAGTCCAAGAGTTTGGAACCCTGCCATGCCCCATACGCAGCGCCCAGTGTGATGCCCTGCGATGCCCCGTCGATGCCCTGAAATACCCTGCACAAAGCCCAGGGTCATGCTGCCCCGCAACACCCCGTCCAAGGCCCTGCAACGCCCCGTGATGCCCCTGTAACACCCCAGGCCACGTGCCGTGCCCTGCATCTCCCCGTTCTGCGCTCCCGCTCTGCTGCTCCGCAGCGCTTGGGCTCCTGCTCTCCTTCCCTCTCCCTCCTCCTCCTCACGCACAACATCCCTTTCCCGCTGAGCGGTGCCTTGGGAGAGGCTGAGAAAACTCCGGCAAATCCAGCCCTTCCCAACCCCGTGGAAGCTTTGGGGACGCGTGGGGTGGGGGTGAGGAGGGACAAGGGTGCTGATGCCCCTCCAGCCTTCCTCCCCCTCGTCCCCCCCGGCCTCCTCTCCTTCTCTGCCTGGGCATGGCTGTCCCTCCTCCCCCAGCCCCTGTCGTCACCGCTTTGAGTAAGAGCTGAGACATCCTTCACCCGAGCCCAGTCCTCACCAGAGCCCTCCACGACACAACATCCCAGCCCCAGCCCAGCGGAGGGAACGGGGGGGCCGGGGACCCCTCCTTGCTCTCCCAGCAGCAGGTAAGGGGGTTCCTTGGGTCCAGGCTTGGGTGGGAAGAAGAGAAGCTGGTTTTCCCTGTTTCATCCATGATTAAAGCTGTTTGCAGAGTGCAGAGGACAGTCAGGGAGTGACAGGGAGGCAGCAGCAGGGAAAGTTTCCCAGTTCTGCATGAAGTTCCTGTCTAACAGGCAAAAACCCCCTGCTGTCCACCTTTAAAATCTAGCAAATAAGTTATCTACTCTCACCGCCTCCCTGAATGCGTGTTGGGATGCCGAGAGCTTTGCCGGCTTCGCCGCGGCCACGGGCATCCTCGGGTCCAGCCTCCAGCATCCCCACGGGGCCGGTTTCCGCATCCCTTCAGGAAAGTGGTTGGAAGGTACCGGAGGGAGCAACATTTTTCAGGCACGGAGGTGCCTCCCCCCGCGGGCATCTCTGCTGCAGGGTCAGAGCTCTTCAAACCCAGCGCAACGAGAAATCCATCGGGGAAATGGTTTGGATGCGGGGAGATGAGGCAGGGCTGGTGGTAGAGGCCAGGCAGGAGGGTAGAGCTGCCTGTCCCGCTGCCAGGCTCTGCCAGAGCTGCCCGCGGAGCACCGAGGTGGGCTCCTCTTCCATGTCCCCCCCCACCCCAAACCCCCTTTGCGCCTTAACAGCGGGTTTCAGGCACAGCTTTGCATCACCCAAAGCATCCTCCTTTCCCTCCCCAGTGTCTATCAGAGCTTCAGGGAACCCATGAAATCCCCACTCGTGTTCACCCAGAGCGGGAGCCGCTCCCCCCGCACCCCCCGGACTCTCCGGTATATTTAGATATCTCAGCTAAAAGTGGCACATCCATAGTTTTCTCACCAGCTCGGCACAGTGGCCAGTGTTTCTCCTTCCAGTTTTCCACCCCCTCCACCACCCTTGTATTAATCAGTTGAAAACTGCACAGAGGAGGAGGATGAGTTCATGGTTTTACCCAATCAGGGAGGAATTTAAGCGAAAGGACTTTCTTGTTTAGCAAAATTAGTGTCGGACTGAGGGATCTCCTTCTCTTTGGGGATGGAAGCAGTTGCCTCCTGGAGAGGAGAAGCTGCTCCTGGGGTAACGGGTCAGGGTTGGAGGAGTCACCTTGTAAGCAGGAGCAGATTTTGGGGCCTCTGCAGAGCAAGCGATTCCCCCCCCACCCTTGCAGAGATTTGCTGTGCTGGGGAGAGGAACCAAATGCATCCATGGAGGGATGGGAAAGGATGATCCCTCTGGAGAAACCAGCCCCAGGCGCCCATTGGAGCCGCTGAGATGCTTCCCCCTCCCTCCCTCCAGCAGCTTCCAGTCAGGGAGGGCAGAAGGATGGTTAAAACCAGTTATTTTCTAGTCATCCCAGTAAAAGTGGAAGCTCCAGGCTCCACCTCTGCTATTAAATCACGCCGGGGCAGACCTGGGCTCCTCATGGCGTTAGCTCAGGGTGTCTGGCTGCGACCGATGCTGCCTGGATCCACACTCTGCCTGCCCGAGGAGCAGTCGTGGACCTGGGGACAGACGTTTTAGGGACATTTTTCCCTTCACTCTGCCATGGTGGCAGCTCGGATTAGCTCCAAGCTGTGCTCATGGGCGGGAGTGGCTTTGAGGGGACGGTAGCGGGACCGTCACCTCCCCGACCTGCGCCGCGGTGGCATGGCAGTGACTGTGCCCCTCTCTGCTGTCTTTCCAGGAATGAAATTTGGGGCGGGTGACTTGGCAGAGCACCCCGAACTCACCCTGGCCCGGCTGTGTCCCTGCTGAGGCTCTCCCAGCCCCCATCCAGCTCCGTCCATGGCTCCTCCAGCGCTCGCTAAGGGTGGGGACACACGGGACACCCCTTCGGAGGTCCCCTGTGGTGGTTTTCCTTGCTAAGTCTCCTCTCCCACCACCATCTCAGCTCATCGCCCCCCCTGGTCCCTCCCGGAGGGGCTTTGCAAACTGCTCCAGGGAGGGGGTCCATGGGGGACACCAACACAGGGAGCATGGGGTGGCTGTCCCATGGCATCACCCCCCTCGTGGCGTGGTGCTTTGTGACCTTCCAGGCAGGTAAGGACCGCTCTGACTTTCCCTGGAGTATCTGAATTTCCTTCTCCTGAGCCCTGCCTTCCCATGGGTGTCACCCGTTGGGGTCCTGGGGGGTTAAATCTGGGGAGAGAGGAGGGGAAGCTGTAGGGCATGCACATGGAAAACCCCTTCTCTCCCAGTTTACCCCCACGCTGTCCCTCAGCATCCCCAGTCGCCGTGCGTGGTGCCCCCCGCCACGCGCCGTGCTAGGACGGGGTTTTGTGTCTTTGCAGAGCAGCTTGACACCACCCAGACGCTTGGGGGGGACACGTCTGCTCTGGGTCATCCACTCCCAGGGGTTGCACCTCTGGGACCCCAGATCCATTCTTTGCAAGCGAGAAATGTTGGAGGGAAAGAAAAAAAACCCTGAATTTTGCTTCTACTTCCCATCAACTCCAGACGTCCCATGAGCTGGGCATCTTGGTTGTCCCTTTACTTGGGACCAGCAACACCCCCTCCCCGCCCAACACCTCATTTCCACGTGTTGGTGGAAATTTATGGGGCTCTGCAGTGAGCGAGGAGGGCGAGTGATGCACGGCGAGCTGATGGCACCCAAGACCAACGCCAGGGGTTTCTAGGAAGAGCAAAGAGCGTTGTGCTCATCCCAGCCCTGCCTCCAACCCGAGGGATGGTCTCTAGGCAGGCTGCAGCGGTCCCAAGGTCTGGGTCAGCCTCCACCTTGCAAAGTTGAACCAGTTAACACCCGGAAAAGCAGCTAGATGGGACTGGGAGAGGGGTCCCAGCCACCCAGGAGTGGGATTATCTCAACTAGCATTGCAAGGTTCACCTCGTACTGCTCTCCGCTCCCTGCGAGGAGCACGGGGTGGCTTCGAGGGGGTTAATTCCCATCCCTGCCTGCTGCAGCAGAGAGGGTGCTTGCCCAGAGCGGGTACCCCATTTCAGTGGGGCGCAGGGATGAGGAAGGGCTCTCCCCCACCCCACCCACTTCTCTCTGCAGCCTCCTGCCTGCAGGATCAGCCTGGCAGCCACGCCGAGGAGCGTCTCTTCAAGCACCTCTTCACCGGCTACAACCGCTGGTCGCGGCCAGTGCCCAACACCTCTGACGTGGTCATTGTGAAGTTCGGGCTCTCCATCGCGCAGCTGATTGATGTGGTGCGTAGCCCAGTGGTCCCAGTCCCGTGTCATGGTCTGTCTTTTCACCAGTTGGTCCTACTGGTCTGCCAGAGTAGGGCCTGGGGACACTGTGGGAAGGTTGAGTTTGGGCACCAGCAACCCCTTGGCCATCTCCAGAGGGTGACAAACCATCCACCCTGCCTCCTCCAGATGTCCAACGAGCAGGGGGGTCTGCACCCCACTTCTCCATCCCACTGACAGCGGGGGAGCATCAAGGAAAACTGGAGGTCTCCATCCTTGCCATGTCCTCACCCACCATCTGCCTGCACGGGGCACCTCCGGGGTTGTCTGTCCATTCATCCCTCTGTCATTCCTCCCACGCCCACCCATCTGTCCACACATCCACCTATCTACCTGTCCATCTCTTCACCCATCTGCCTGTCCATCCACCTACCCCCCCAGGCATCTCTCCATCCTTCCACCCACCCATCCACGGGACTTTTGTCCATCCATCGGAGCGGCGCGGAGCCGTATGCTGCAAAACGCTGTTTCTTGCTGCCATCTAGTGAGCAGATATCCCATGGAAATGTTCCTCCTTGGACTTGGACTGGTACCGGTTGCTTCCAGGTGCTGAACCCCCAAGGTGGAGGGCAGAAAGTGAAAGCAGTGATTTGGGGGACGATGCAGTGATGGGACAAGCCCCCTTTCTGTCTCCTCTCACCTCTCCCTCTTTCCCAAACACAGGATGAGAAGAACCAGATGATGACCACGAACGTCTGGCTGAAGCAGGTAGGAACCCGTTGCCTCTCTGGGGAAAGGGCAGGAGCGTGTCAAGGAGGGCACAACATTTGGGGCAGAGAGACCCAGGGGCATTTGGTGGTATCTCCATGGTGCTGTTCCTCTGGGGGATGCTGCCAGAGGAGGAGGAGGAGGCAGAGGAGGAGGCACTGGGCAGCTTGGTCCCACCAGACTCAGGGCCACCTGATGTCCTTCCCTCACTGTTTCCCTCCAGGAGTGGAGTGACTACAAGCTCCGCTGGGACCCGGCGGACTTTGACAATGTCACCTCCATCCGGGTGCCCTCCGAGATGATCTGGATCCCTGACATCGTGCTCTACAACAAGTGAGTGACGCTGCTGAGATGGAGCATCCCGAGGACTGGGTCCTCCATCCCATCCCATCCCATCCCATCCCATCCCATCCCATCCCATCCCATCCCAGTAGCTCCCTGGTGTTGCTGGCCCTCACAGGTCTCCTGCCCCCCATCCCACCTCCCTGGTAAGGATGCACATCAATCTGCATCCATCTCCCCATGTCCGGTGCTCATGCTCCGACCCATCTCCGTGCTCTGGGTGATGCCCAGAAGGGTGAACCCGACACCGTGCAGGGATGCACAATGAGGCCACAGCCTCACATCAAGGCTCATACCAGCCCTGGAGCTCCTGACCCTATTTCTTGGGGGAAACACTTCATCCTTCTCTGACCTTGAGTTATTGATTGACAGACGGCTGAATATGAGCCAGCAGTGTGCTCAGGTGGCCAAGAAAGCCAATGGCATCCTGGCTTGTATCAGGATTAGTGTGGCCAGCAGGGACAGGGAAGGGATCTTGCCCCTGTACTTGGCGCTGGTGAGGCCGCCCCTCGATTCCTGGGTTCAGTTCTGGGCCCCTCACCCCAAAAAGGCCATTGAATGACTCGAGCGTGGCCAGAGAAGGGCAACAGAGCTGGGGCAGGGTCTGGAGCACAGGTCGTACGGGGAGCGGCTGGGGGAACTGGGGGGGTTCAGTCTGGAGCAGAGGAGGCTGAGGGGAGACCTCATCACCCTCTACAGCTACCTCAAAGGAGGGCGCAGAGAGCTGGGTTCGAGCCTCTTTAGCCCAGTAGAAAGCGACAGGACGAGAGGGAATGGCCTCAAGTTGCGCCAGGGAAAGTTCAGACTGGATATTAGGAAGCATTTCTTTCCAGAAGGGGCTGTTGGGCATTGGCATGGGCTGCCCAGGGCAGTGATGCAGTCCCCATCCCTGGAGGGGTTCAAGAGTCGGGTCGATTTGGAGCTTGAGGCTCTGCTGTAGGTGGGAACTGTGCTGGGCGAACGGTTGGACTGGATGATCTCCAGGGTCCTTTCCAACCTAGATGATTCTGTGACCTTCACATCTCTCCACCCCTGCAGCGCTGATGGAGAATTTGCCGTTACCCACATGACGAAGGCCCACCTCTTCTCCAACGGGAAGGTGAAGTGGGTGCCACCCGCCATCTACAAGAGCTCGTGTAGCATCGACGTCACCTTCTTCCCCTTCGACCAGCAGAACTGTAAGATGAAGTTTGGCTCCTGGACCTACGACAAGGCCAAGATCGACCTGGAGAATATGGAGCACAATGTGGACCTCAAGGATTACTGGGAGAGCGGCGAGTGGGCCATCATAAATGCCATTGGCACCTATAACTCCAAGAAGTATGACTGCTGCACCGAGATCTACCCCGACATCACCTTCTGCTTCATCATCCGTCGCCTCCCGCTGTTCTACACCATCAATCTCATCATACCCTGCCTGCTTATCTCCTGCCTGACCGTGCTGGTCTTCTACCTGCCCTCCGACTGTGGGGAGAAGATCACCCTCTGCATCTCTGTCCTGCTGTCGCTCACCGTCTTCCTGCTGCTCATCACAGAAATCATCCCGTCCACCTCGCTGGTCATCCCTCTCATTGGCGAGTACCTCCTCTTCACCATGATTTTCGTCACACTCTCCATCATCATCACCGTGTTCGTCCTCAACGTCCACCACCGCTCCCCCAGCACCCACACCATGCCTCGCTGGGTGCGTAGCTTCTTCCTCAACTTCATCCCTCGCTGGCTTTTTATGAAGCGACCCCCGGTGCTGCCTCCCCCCGAGGGGACCGCGGGGCAGTACGACCTCCCGGGCACGAGGCTCAGCACCTCCCGGTGCTGGCTGGAGACCGATGTGGATGACAAGTGGGAGGAGGAGGAGAAGGAAGAGGAGGAGGAAGAGGAGGAGAAGACATACCCCAGCCGCGTGTCCCAACCAGGATCCCACGGCCAGGGCACCCAGTGCCGCTATGCCTGCGGGCGCCAAGCTGGGAAGGCACCGGCGGGCTCAGCCCCCCGGGTGCCCCCCAAAGGGGAGGAAGAGGAGGGGGTGGGCTCGAACCGGGGGCTGATGCTCTCCCCCAGCATCCTGAAGGCCTTGGAAGGGGTGCAGTACATCGCGGATCACCTGCGAGCCGAGGATGCTGACTTCTCGGTGAGTAGATACCCCCGAGGGCTGGAGGATGAGGGTGGGTTCCCCACCCTGGGTGCTGCTTCCTGCCACTTGCACCCCCGTTGGGAGGGGTCAGTGCTGGCACCCCCAGTGATGGCTTCGCTGGACCCAGAGCTCAATGACCAGGGAGATGCCCAGTCCAGAGGGTCAGCTGGGGGCGCCTCCAGCTCCTGTCCCTCCTGGCCATGGGGATGTTGGAGGTCCCTCTCCTGCCCATGCTGTCCTGGCCTCAGAGAGCAGAGGTGGCCCAGCCTGCCCTGCGGGGACCCAGCTCAGGGGCTGCACCCCTACTTTACCCAACTGGGTTCAGAAAACCCTGGGCGGGATTAGCTCTGCCCCAAGCAGCCTCCCTGGAGTTCCATCCCCCATCCCTGCTGCTCCAGGGACTTCCCAAGACACAGGGTATCTCCTCACCCTGGGGCAAACAGTGGATGCAGAGGAAGCCCCGGGGGGTCTCCTCACCCCAAGGCATCCTCACAAACGGGGGGCTGCATCCCCTGCCCATGCTCACAGCCCTTCTCCACTCGACAGGTGAAGGAAGACTGGAAATACGTGGCCATGGTGATCGACCGCATCTTCCTCTGGATGTTCATCATCGTCTGCTTGCTGGGCACTGTGGGGCTCTTCCTCCCACCCTACCTGGCAGGGATGATCTAGGGACAGGGCCAGGCTGTGGTGGGGACAGCAGGCGATGGACGCGCCCTCCTCCCCAGGGAGCAGACACAGTGATGCCCACATCCAGCCAGACCCTTGTCCTTCCCTGGGAGGACACGGTTGCAACCATGGAGGACCCTTGGATGGGAAATATAAGGTTGTGAAGCAAGGGCTGTGCCAAGGGGGGACCTGGGCATGGTGGGGAGGGTGCCCTGCCCTGCCCAGGGTGGTTGCAACCATCAAGGAAGGCACAGTACAGCTTCTCTGCTGCCCAAGCACAGGCTGGAGGCATCTAAGAAAGGTGTCCGCTGCAAGTCCTACCCGATGGGGCAAGCAATAACACTTCAGATGGTCCACGCAGAAGGGGTGCGGTCATGGGATGGAGGTCCCTGCTTGGTTGCACGGCGAGGGGGTCTCTGCTCTGCAAAGCCCAGCCAAAGCTCTGCAACCTGCTGGCACGGATGGTCGCTTCCACAGCACCCCACTCCAGAGCTTGGGGCGGCAGGGAGAGGGGAGCAGCCGACCCAGAAATGTGGGCGGCTTGGAAGGGAAAAGCCACCCTGCAGAGCGGGATCACCTGCCCAGCCCTGGCCAGACCGTGCCCACGGAGCACGGGGTACTGCCCCGTGCCGAGGCTGGTGGACTCAGCTGGCATGGGGGGAACCTGCGCTGCCGAGGTCCATCCCGAGCAAATCCTCTTCTCTGTCCCACAGCAGATCCCAAATCGCCTGGCTCTTACAACTGCTGCAACCCAGCTTTTAATTTCTAGCTTCCCTATATCCTAAAGAGCAGCTACTCTCTTCTTCCATGCCCGCAGAGACACCAGGATTGTCCAGCAATGTTTTCTCCTCCAGGAGACCAACCCAGGCATTGCAGCGCTGGATGCAGTCTGAGAGGTTTCAGAAAATATTTTGTGCTTTCAGAAGTGAAACGGGCTGGAATAAACGGTGCCACGAAGGGACGTGCATGTCCCCAGGGGTGCTGCAGCCGTTCGTGTGGCCTCTGGTGCTTCCAGGCTGGCTCAGATGAGCTGAGAAACGGGATGCGCGAGGGAGCAAGTGCCCTGCCTGCCTGATGAGGCCACCAGGGTGTAAATTTTGGGGTGTTCCGCTCCCCAGCGTGGCACTAGACCCCCAAGCATCCTTCTTTTTGGGAGAGCCCATCTTTACGGCTGCATTATCCCACATAAACCACTTGTCCCCTCCACAGATTGCCCATGATTTCCTGATGGTTTTTGAAAAGGAAAACCCTGTGGATACTCTAGCAAGCCTTGGGGTGGGAGCAGGGGGAGTCCAGGACCCTCGTATGGATTGTGGGCCCCACGGGAGGGAAATGGGGCTCCAGAGGGGATGGGTATGTGGATGCATCAGAGCCAGGTTCACCCCAACAGCTCCCCGGGGGACGGCACTTCCCTGCACCGGCAAGACGGCTCCAAGGTCTGAGCAGCACAATCTTGACTCTTTCTAAAGGAGGTGCTGGGGACCGGGGGACTTGTCCCTAGAGTATGGGGGTGACAGGCAAGCACGGGCACAGCAGGACTTTGTGCATGGTTTATCTCAGCCAGAATGAACAGCGCTGTGGGAAGATGCTGGGGAAAAGCCCGAACTGTGCGGTTTCCAACTCAAAGCACAAACCGAACAGAGACTTGGTTGGCCGTCGTCGCTTACACAGAGCGGGTCGGAGAAAACTCAGCTGCAAGAGGCACTGTTCTCCTGGTTTGTGTCACCGAAGGCTGGGGTCCACGGGGTCCCATCCCTCCCCGTGCTCTGGGGATGCCAGGTACCCTCCGGCCACGGGCGCTGGAACTGGCTCTCCCACGGCACGCGGACCCGTTTCCCATCATTAAATAATCTTTTCTATACAATGTACAAGGAAACGCAAACAGTCCCTCTGGCCACCGCTCCGATGGCCCCTGGGGACCCCCACATGGCCCCTCGGGATACCAGCTCCCCCAGGCACTGTGCCCCCCAGCTCCCAGCGGTGAGGAGCGGGGTCCACGTCCTCGTCGCGACATGCCGCCCGCGGCCGGCCATCCTCAGAGGGACCAAGGGATGGACACACGGACCTGCTGGCAGCTGGGGAGCCGCTGAGCCAGAGGGATCTTTAGCCACCTTCAGGGATGGCCAGGGCCCCCCCAAACCTTCTCAGGGATGAGTCACCAGATGCCTCCCTTCTTCAGAAGACCGACGAGACGATGCTAAGACACGAGCGGCTGCAGGAGGAGGGGGGACAGGGAGGGCAGGACAGCGAGGCCACGGGAGACACACAAAAGCCAGCTCCTCTGCAACGCTCTCCTCCCACCTCCGCCGCCTGAAGTGTGGCGGTCTCTCTCCTCTTCTTCTTCCCCACCCCTTCTCCTTCCCCTCTCTCCACCCCAGCCCTCACTCCAAGCACAGTTTCACCAGGTTGGCCTGGACCTTGGCTTGGTCCACGGCATCCAGGAGGTTCTTGGCATCCACGGCCAGGGTGTGGGAGGCCGTCAGCATCTGCCGCTTGCACTCCTCGCTCAGCGAGGTGACGGCGTTCTGCTGCGCCAGGCGCATCTTGTTGATGAGGTCAGCCAAGTCCTTGTTGAGCAGCTTCTGGGTCCCCTCGATCTGACCATGACACGTGGGGGTTACAGACAGCGGTGCCATGAGCACATGGCCCCACGTCACACCCCTTCCCGGTCCTACCTCGGTGCGGGAGGCAGCAGGCAGGACGGGCAGGATCTCGTCAACGCTGCCGATCAGCTTCCGCAGGGATAGGCCCACGTTCTGTGGGGAGGGGGCAGCAGGGTTAGGATGGATCCGGGTACAGACACAGGGAAGTGGTGCATGGGGATGGGCTGTGTTGCTGAGTCGAGGATCCCATTCAGGAGAGGGCTGTGGTGGGACACTCTCCCATCATTGACCCAAGGAACCAATGGAGGAGGAGTACATATTGGAAACCCTCACTGTTGGCCCAAGACCCAATGGAGGAGCAGGACATGATGGAAACTTTCCCATTGTTGACCCAAGAACATAATGGAGGAGAAGAATGTGTTGGAAATGTTCCCTCCTATATGTGCAAGACCTTCCCAAGAAGAATGCTTGGTGGGAGCCACTCAGCAGACTTTCCCTCCCCTGTTCTTTGTAGAAGGCCCAGTGCTGTCCCCTCCCTACCTTCACCACGAGGATGTACCCCTCCGGGGGCAGGAGGCTGATCTCGTTCTTCAGCTGCAGCACAGCCCGCACCAGGTCCATGACATTGCTGTACACCGTGTCATCTGTGCGATCCAGGTTGGCGGTGGGCGACGGGTGGATGGACTGCCAGGGAATGGGGACACGATGAACAGAGAGGTCACGGAGGGAAAGAGCAACACCTATGGGGAGCCCTGGCCGGAGCCATCCACCTCTCACCATTGCCCCTGATGCTGCTGGATCTCTTTGACCCCTTTGGGGCCTGGGGGAGTCAGAGAAATCCCATCCTGGAGATGTGGAGGGATGGTGGAGGAGGAGGAATGAGATTGAGGAGATGGAGGAGGAGGAACAGGACTGTGGTGGCCTGATTCAGGGAGGTCTTACCTGTGCCCCAAGTCTTGGAGGCTTCTGGGGGGGGCCCGTGAACTCCGCTACACCGTCAGTAAGGGAAAGGAAGGAGAGTCACTCCAGCTGCTCCCACAGACACGTGGGCACGCTGCAAGACCTCTGGGACCCGTGCCACATCCCACACCACCCCGCAGCAGTGAGTCCCACTGGGGTTGGACACCCTGACCCACCCCAGCCGTGCCACCTCCCCCCAGAGTCAGACCCCCCATGCCTGGGACAGGCAGAGCCCCCCCAGGGCAGGTAAAGCTGCTCCCCATGATCTGGGATTTCTTTCATGGAGGATCCCAAAGCTGGGAGGGGTACAGCCCTGAGGCTCCTCCCAGCTCAGTGCAGGGTTCCCCAGTTGCAGCCCCAAAGTAGGTGCTCCTTGGTGGGGGCCACAGGCAACCCCCCAATGCTGTGCAGCTGTAGGCACTCACTGTAATCCGTCTCCTTTTCTGGGAGCAGCTGCAGGGGGAAGAAACAGCAAATGAGAGACACAAAGTCCTGTCTGGAGGCAAGCAAAGAGGGAGGAGACATCATCATCCCCTCCCAGGGCTTCTGATGGGGAGCTTTGCACCACCAGGATTTCACCCCATTAAGATTTTCAGATTAACTTTCCCAATGTGAGGGGCATATATATATATATAAATATTTATCACCCATCCATGCCAAAGTAAATGAGGATTTCTGGAGGCCCCCAAAAGAAGGACCCCCTGCACCCCAAATACACCCCGACCTGGCACTACTCACCGGAGGAGTGTTGTTGTTCATAAACACCATCGGGTCCTGCAAAGGGGAAAAAGCTTTGTGAAGGTTGCAGAAAAAAGGACAAAGAAGGGAAAAAAGGGATTTTCCTGATTTCTGGGAGACTCATGAAACCATCTCTGCAGGGTCTGGGAATGTGGGAGGGGAAAGGGCTTCACACCCATCGCTGGTCCCATCTCCAACCCATCCATCACCTCTAGCTGCTCCCCACCTGCTCCTGGGGCACCTCAAACTGCTGCTCAAAAAAAAAAAAAAGCAGCATAATTCAAGCAGCTGTTTGCATCTGACAGCCCCGGGGGTGAGGGGAGCTGGGCTTTGCTTTATTGGTTGCATTAATTTGACTGAATAAAGGATTTTCAGTCTCCTTCCAAGCCTGTCTCGCCGCACGCTGATGCGTTAGTCACGCGTTAGGAGTAGGATCTCCAGTCCTTATTTCAAAAGTATTTTTAGCTCATTAAGACGCGATTGCAGGTTATTTAAAAACTGCCCAAGTTTCAAAATGTTCATTTTTGAAATGAAGCAGCTCTGTGAGGTTTTTATGGATGCGGAAAATAAAGGGATGCAAGAGGTTTGGCTGCTGGAGGAACAGTTCCTCCAAGGAAAAATGGCTTTTCCAGCCATGAAGAGCAACCTCAAGGTTTGCAGTGCCTCTTCCACCACCTTCCTGAGGGTGCAAGAGCTGGAAGCCCCCGGGTGAGTTCGAGGCCACTCACCAGGGACTTCTCCTCCTGTCGCAGCCATTGGTAGTCCTCCATCATCTGCTTCTGCTGCTTGTCCAGGACCTGCCTCATCTTGAGCCTCTCCATCTCCCAGAGCTTCTGCGCCTCCTCCCTGCTGCTGGGACGGAGGAAATCTTCCTCCTGGTGTGCAGAGCCAGCGGTGACGGGGGCTACTCAGGAGCCAGAGCCCATCAGCATGCAAGCCATGTGCCAGACCCCAACAGCCATGAACCCCCAAACTGAATTTGGGGAGCACTTGAGTTTCCAGCAGCGAGAGGAAGCCACCGGCTGGTCCCACGCCTCCCGGCACTTTCCAGGGGCAGCATGCATGGGCCGCCCTGAGCAGCAGCTCATCGGCACCGCGGCTGTGCCGGCACAGCGGGCAGAGCATCGGAAGGTGCACCCCAACACCCGGCTCTGATTTTGGGGCTAGAGTAACCCAGCTCAGGCTGAAAACCACCGCTGGCATTTCAGGTGACACTAGCAGGCATGAGGAGCTGACCCAAACCCCGAGGAGCAGCAGCCACCCATTCCCTGCCCGTTTTTTGCCAGTTGCTCATCCTCCAACATGCCTTCACTGGGATGCGTGCGCAAGCATGTATGGTGGGGGGCTGGAGACACCCTGGAGCCCTTCACAGGCTCGATCCCTCCAGCCCCCCAACAGCACCCATGGGGTGGCAGATTGGGAGCAACATTGAGCTTGAAGCAGCGGAGGAGGCAGCACAGAGCACAGCACGGTCCTGGCAGGTCCCCGGCGTGCCCTGGATGAGGCCACCCGGGACCAGGGTGTCCCCTGGATGCCACAGGGTGGGGGAATCCCTCTCTTACCCTCATGCTGTGGCGCTTGAAGACGTTGTGGCGGTTGAGCGGCGGGGTGTGCAGGGAGTTGGCTGGAGACTGGTACTCGATGGGGCTGGTGAGCGTAGGTGAGCTGGCACACAGACCCTCGGGAAGGGCTCCTGGGGCAGAGCTTCTTGCAAGTCAACCATCATTAGGTGCTTCCCCCTCCTCCAGGGAATTCAGGATGGTTGGGGGGCTGAGTTAAACTCTACCCCCTGCAAATATCCATCCCCCTGCCTATCAGCCCATCCCCATGGCCTCAGTCCCTCATCTGTCCACCTGTCCATCCCTAACAGCCCTATGGCCAGCAGCAACCAGGAGCTGGGCTCCTTGCAGCTCCCTGGGAGAACAGGCAGCACTTTTCTCCGCATTTTTCACCCAAGGACCAGAAAGACCAAGCAGCCAAGTCACCTGGTGTCACACAACAAAGCGTGGCGCTGGCACCGAAACCCCAAGCGAGGGGCTGGTCACGCAGTTTTAGCGTCTATTGAGTTGACTCGTGTTGCTCCCACAGCCGTGTGCATGTGGGAGATCCTGAGCCACGGC